TGATCTACTTTAATCTAAATATTTATTACGATGTGCCCAGTTTTAAATAGATTGCGTACTCCTTCGCCAAATATCAAATTTTTATTTTTTCCAAAAATTTTGGTAATTTTTTGGATATACGATATTTTGAAAAAATCTCACAATATAGGCCATAAGAATGGGCCTCTATGATGCCTTCCAATATTTGGAACATTTAAATGCATTTGTTCAACTGATTGTTTCAACTTTGCCATTTGGCGTTAACAATAGGTACTAAATTTTCTGGTAGACAATTGTCCTATATCATATATATAACCGAACCGAAATACCCGATTACCCAGTTATTCGACCCGAAATTTGGGCTACAAAGTCAGGGTCTTATCTGGTTCTTCATATGGAAATACCTATGCAACAAGTGATCATATGATGGGATTGTTTGGAACGGTTCCGGAGTAATACAAGACAAGTAAAAAGCAGTAAGTTTCGCGGAGAGGAACTTTGTATGTCCTCCACGAACGAATTTGAAAAATTTCAATAAAATAAAATCCGTTAAAAATTCTACTAAAATATTTAAAATACCGAATATAACCGTTATATTGGGGTCGATACCGAATATATTAAATTAAAATGGGTCATGTAGGTCCACGTTTTGGTATAGCCCCCATATAACGGTACCTCCCGATATTCGGTATATTGATGATTTTAGCGATATTACTTACCGGAATTATTTCAAATTTGGTGTTTGAAGTTCGTAATAGATACTACAGCATAAAACAGAAAATGGGCCGTGTAGCTCCACCTCTTCGTATAGCCCCCATATAACGGTACCCACCGATATTCGGTATTTTGATGATTTTAGTGACTTTATTTAGCGGAATTGTTTCAATTTTGGCGTTTGAAGTTCGTAATGGATACTACATCCTAAGACCAAAAATGAGCCATGTAGGTCCACGTCTTCGTATAGCCCCATATAACAGTACCTCCCGATATTGGCTATTTTGATTATTTTAGAGACGTTATTTTCCGGAACCATTTAAAATTTAATATTTGAAGTTCGTAATGACTACTACAGCCTATGACAGAAAATTGTCTGTGGTACAATACATACTGAAATTGTTTGAAATGTCGTATTTGAAGTTCTTAATGAATACTACAGTCTATGGCAGAAAATTTGATGATGATTTTAGCTGCATTATTCACGGTTTATTTCAAGTTTCGAATTTGAATATGGAAATGGCTAATAACAAACAATGCCTATGTAGGTCCACGTCGTATAGAACACAATATAACTGCTATATTTTAAGATTTTAATAGAGTTTCTAGCGGATTTTATTTTTTGAAAATTTCCAAATTCGTTCCAAATGGTGGAGAGTATTCAAAGTTCAGGCTGGTCGAATTTTCTGCTTTTTAACTTGTTTTTATTGTAATTGTTTTTTTTTTTTTTTGTCTCCATTTTATTAAAACACATTTTGCTTTTAATTCAAATCCATGCAAACCCCACCCTAAAGCCCATCATGAATTTCAAAAAAAAGAAATATATACAAATTCAAACCATGACACGTATGATTAATATTAATTCCTAAAGCGTATGCATAATTTATTACTCATACGCCAGAGAATGTGCTCAGAATCATTAATAATAGAAAAAGTATTTATACTACCACATAGGGAGATGTGAGGAAATCTCACAATATTTTTCATTTTTTTCAAATCTCCAGCCCATTCCATCCTTGGATCGCTTTTCGATGCTATTCATTTCAACACAACTGCCGGCAGCGGTAGTTGTTATTTTATTTATGACCGTATTTAAGTTTATTGCTAGTTTCCTCATTTGTTTCGGCTTTGTACCGGCAGTTTTAACTAAATATTAAACCAAAGCCAGTCGCAACGAGAGAGAAGATTAGGTGGTGCTGTCTCCGCTGTTGCTGCCGTAGTCCATAACAATGGCGAAAATTGAAAGAAGGAGCCCGAGTTGTTGGTGGGTTAGTTAAGTGTAGTTCTTTTAGTTTTCCTAAACTAATTCCAGATTTTTGGATACAAAGTTTGTGTGTCTTTCTCTGTGTGTGTGTGTGTGTGTCTTGAAACACTCACCAAGTCATACTTTCCGGTATTGTTGTTGTTGTTTCCTCTGAGTACATTTGTGTGTGTCTGTGGTTCTATCTGTTTTGGGCTATCCAAATAGTTGCTTTGGATATTTTTTTGGTTGCCTGGTTAAGTTTTGTTTTTTTTTGTTGTTGCTGGGTGCAGGTTTTTAAATTTAGATTTTTGGTTTGAGATTTGTAGCGTGCAGTTCCGGCTATGCTCGGTTGATTTGTTGGTTGGTTCACATAAATAGTTCCCATGAAAATATAAAAATAGAATTTATTTTTAACCCAACACATTTGTAGATAGCTATTGTGGCCAAGTTGTTATCGTGTAGCCAGCCCTCTCTTCAGCTCTCTTTGCCATGCACACACACACACATATGGTATGGACACTCACATATACGCGTGCACACTTACTGACACACACACACACAACAGCTGAACAAAAGCCAATTTCAAATCAGAAACAAACAAACGGGAGGAGTATGCAAATATTTAAGGATTGCTGGTTAATTTTTGGAGGGCATGGGCCCTCGAAGGGGGCCTAAAGTATTAAAAAACACATATTTGAAATCCTCTTTATTTGCTTCGTTAATCATTTCTCATTAAACCCACATGAGCCACACACACGTGCACACACGTACACACAAAAGGGATTATGTAAGATTATTATTAATTACAGATATGCAAATATGTTTGGGGCGTATGATTGTTAAAAATTACCAAAGCGTATTTCTGATGTGCGTCACTTATACGCCAACATGGAATTCTAAGGAAACTCATTAATATTGGGCGAGAGAGTTGGAGAATATATTTTTGGAAAAGGTTGGACAATATCGCATATATTTTTTGGGGGTTGTCTTTGTCAATTACGTAAAATTAGTGACAAACTAATTAAAAAGCCGGCAATATTGAAGGGCATTAAAGCCTTTATCATTTGAAAATTAATACTTTTGAAAATATGAAGAGTGAAAAGGTTCAATATTTAGAGGGTGTATGTTATTTCTGTTATTAGGAACTTGCGATACTAGTTTTCAACAAATTCTATTAAAAAATTGAATAAACTCATCCAAATTCGGAATATCGGGAAGGTATCGTTGTATGGAGGCAGAAAATCAAGGTCTATGGGGACAGAAAATCAGGATCTATACGGCCAGAGATAGCCATTATGAGCTCAAAATCGTTTAAATGCTGAATATTGAGAGGTACCAACAATTTTCTGCCGAGAAGGTGCAACCTCCAAATACAAATTAGAAGAAGGTTGAGAAATTTGTGGAAAGTCATCAAAATGACAAATATTTGGAGATTCAGATATATGGGGCCTGTACGAAAACATGGACTTGTATAGAAAAATCTCTCTCATAGAACATCCTACGAACTCCAAATTATAACTTTGAAACAATTAGGTTGATTAATGTGGCTTAAATCGCTAAAATACCAAATATCGAGTGATATCATAAAATGGGGGCTAAACGAGAACTTGGATCTGTATAGACAATCTTCTGGCTTAGGTGGCCATTATGAACATGTAATAACAATAAATTATTTTGAAAAATGTGGCTAAAATATGAAGGGCTTACAGCTAAATTAAATTAAATTAAAAAAAATTTTAAAATTAAATATTCAAAATTAAATAATGATATTAATTTAAAATAAAAATAATTTAAATATATTACTAAAAATATATTCAAAAACAAAAAAACCTAATTTGGTTCATTATTACTCTGAATAAAATTTGAATGTTTCACAGCTAAAGCGAACCAAGTCAAAAAAATAAAATAAAGTGTTCGTTATATGACAAAATATAGTTGACTTTAGCGATTAATTTCGCACTAAAATCGGCGTTTTATTTTAAGTCATGTGTTGGTTTGGTCCAGCAGCGGGTGCTTCTTTTGCAATTGATAACTATTGTGATTTTTAGGAAAATAAAATGACTTCATTTATTAAAAAAAATAATTTAATGTTAACAAGGACTTAAGGTTTCAACAAATATCTATACATAAAAAAATTCGTCATTTCCGTCTTCATCATTTTGGGGCTGGTCTTTATGTTGTCTTGTTATTAATTTCTTGCTTGACTGGTAAATTTCTATAGAAATTGTGGTACATGGGCGGAATAAATTTAAGTAAATCAATCAGGTCTCGTTTTTTTTTTTCTGATGTAACTGTACGACGAGTTGGATACAGCATTGCTTGTTGTAAACTTTGAAAAGATTGCAGTCTTCTTCCTTGTTTTGATTTTTCTAAATTAACGTCATAAAATTGGTCTTCTTTATTGAGTGTTTTCTTAAATTTAAATGAAAAAGGTAGCTTGCGATCGAACCGAAGCCACTTTATATTGAGCCATGAAAAATGGTGACCATCAACTGTATTTTTTCGGTTGGTAATGTTTCTTTCTAAAATATTAGTTGAAAGAAATTCATTTCTTTCCATTTCTATAACTTGGAACTGCGGGCTTTTTATTTTAGCACTTTTGACAATCTTAATCCAGTGATTATAAGAATAAATAAATTGTTGTTTCTTGCTTCGTTTTTCAATAACGCCAAAATCAGCATCGTTTGGTAAAAAAGAGTGGCCAGACTCCATAAATTTAAGATCTATTATTTCCGCATTTAATTCTGTTGACCCAAGTAGATTAAGTAAGGAGAGGCTTAGTTTAATATTTCTATTTTGTCCACCGCAAGCATCGCTGTACAAAATTATATGCTTATACTCCGATGCATGATTTAGTAAATGTTTCTTTAGGCAAGCTGCGATTTCTTGAGATCCCCTCCCTCCTTCGGTCTCATTCCATATGTGCATATAACCGGTTTTCATATTCATTGAATGAACTCCCAAATTGTAAACATACATGTTCCGCTTGTAATAAGCAACTGATGTTGATAACTTTGGAAAAGGCAATGCTTTTTGAAGGTCGAAAGTACAGATATAGTGCTCATCAGCTAATACCTCTTCCCGAACCAGGCATCGATAAACTCTTCCCCATCCAATTAGTAAAGTGTTCAAAAAAAATTTTTACACACCGCAATATTTTGTCCGTTAACCAAAATTGAGTAAATAAAAGTTCTACATCTTGCGCCGCGACTTCCATCCCGAATGCGTTGAACTTTTGGTTGTGTTGATTGAATTAGACCTCTTAAAAATATATTTTGTTTTGCATAGTCTGCAAGTTTCCAAAATGACTTGAAAAATAATTCTCTGTCGGATTCATTCACCTGGTTGTTACATTTTTTTTGCATCCGCAATCATAATTATGTATAAACGTTTTTGCGGAAGTCTTAAGACCCTTTTGATTTATGTATGCTTTTCCACTGTTGCAGCGAAGCTTACGCACATTGCGTTTCCACTTTGCCGCGTTCATTCGTCTTTTCCTTCCCAGATGTATTGATGATTCATCCTGTGGATCTTCAGATGCAGATGATGACACAATTTCAGCTCTGTCAGCCACATTTTCTAAAAAAATATATAACAGTTTTAAAAAAACAATGTAATAAGCAAGTGTTAAGTTACCTGTTGTATAAATAATACTATCACTATCCGATGATTCCGAGGTTGGCAAATATTCCTCATCTTCATCACTGGAAAAATCACTAGCAAAATAGGGCGGTATTCCTATGTAGGGTCTATACCTAAATTAAAACTTATACAAACAGGGCTTCGCCCCCTGGGTGCAGATTGTATATTTTCCTCAAATTTGTTAGAAATGTATGACTAAAAGCCCAAAAAAACTTTAAGTCAGATGGAAATAGCATCAAATTTTAGTATAAGTTTAGATTTTTTCGAATTGGTCATCTTTAGATTTTCACGAATTATGGCCTTCAAACGGTCAATGAAACCGTCATACGCTGCCTGAATGTTGCTCTGTGGTATTTTGACCCATTCCCGGCGAAGCGCTTGCTTGAGGTGATCGATACTTTGGTATTTTTTACTGCCAACCTTGCTTTCGAAAATACTCCAGACGCAATAGTCCAACAGATTGGTATTTGGAAGGCTTTTGATGGCCATTGTGCGCTGGAAATAAAGCGAGGAACCTCGTTTTGTAATCATTCATGGTGCGATGGTGCTGAGTCCTGTTGGAATGTCCAAGTTCTGCGGCCAAAATGTTTGCATGCCCAAGGCTTTAAAACAACCTTCAGATTATTTTCCCGATAATATTCGGCATTTATTCTGATTTCGCTCTCCGCTCGTATTAATTGACCGTGGGATTAATGCGAGCGGAGAGCGACCATAGGCTGTTATGGCGGCCCACACCATCACCATGGCCGGCGCCAGCGCTTGAGTTCTGGGGACCAATCACGATCATTTAGTTTGTCATCGGAGAAAACCAAATTCGGCTCTTTCGAGTCTATTTTCTTTCTGTTGCGGTGTAAGTTCTTGCACTTTATGGAATTTCAATGGCTTTACCCCGAGCTCATTTTTCAATATTTGCCGAATGGAATATTGCGATATGTTCAGTTCACGAGCCATTTTTCGGCCACTGCGGCGCGGGTTTCGAACAAGTCGCTTCTTAACTTTTTGAACCATTTCTACTGATGTTGTTGTTTTATTCCGTCCACTTGCTTAACATCGGCCTACGCTACCAGTATCACGGTAACGAGCGATGATACGAGACACAAAAGATTTTATTTAAATGCTGGAGTTCTCTAACCATAGTAACTTGTGGTTTCCCAGCTAAATTTGAAGAAATCCCACTATCACGCTTGAATTCTCCCTTCGAGAGGTATCGTGAGCATCAGCTAGACAGACAGACGGACAGACGGACGAACGAACATCGCTAGTTCGACTCTAAATATCCTGAAACGGATTTGTTCTAAAGAGACCTAGACTCTAAAACCGCTACCGAAGTGGTCATTTGCCAGTCTCACATAAAAAGAATTTGATATCCGATTCAGTCCAAACAAGGTATTTGAATTATGCCATGAAAACTATTGGCTCGCTGCTTCTCGACCTCCCCATGAAGTCAAAATTTTTAAAATCAGTCTCCTGATTTTTAAACTTCGCATATCCTAATTGAGCAACATTAGATTTCATATTAGGATGTACTGTATCGGTTCACTTCAACTCGTACCTCTTCCACAAAGATGAAATTTTTCTAATAATCACAACGCTCATTAAATGCGAATTTATTCCGCACTACTTTTCAAATTTCGAACTTGACAATATTTGTTTTAACAAAAATATAATATAAAATTGCATATATAGGTCTAAATCTTCTACATATAAATTGCAAATTGAATATATCTGCCGGAACACTGACTGACACTTTCTAACATGTTTTTATTAAATTCGAATTATTTTCTATCTCTTTTCAGGTAAGCATAACCTTTTACCTTAGTTGTACAATATTGATCGGTAAGAAATTAAATTATTGTAAACTAGCTAATTAACGCATCTTAACTAAAAAATAGATTCGATTTCCATCCGATCATTAACATTTTATACACTCTACTTTGCTGACACTTGATTTATAAACAAATCGGCTATACCCAAAAAATCCCCTAAAATGTGGATGTTCCGTTACATGGCGACTATACCTTTATTGTGTATTGTCGAGGAAAGTTATGCTATTATTAGAAAAAGCCCGAAGTAACAAATTAATAAGTAAAAAAGCTATACGTTCGGCCGGGCCGATCTTTGAATACCCTCTACCATTTGTAACGAATTTGGCAATTTTCAAAAAAAAAAAATAAAATCCGTTAAAAATTCTGTTAAAATCTTAAAAATACCAAATGTACCCCTTATATTAGGGTCTATACGACGACGTGGACCTGCATAGGCAACTTTTGTCATAAGTTATGACAATATTCAAATGCGAAACTTCGGGGAATAATATAGCTAAAATCATCAAAATACCTAATTTAGGGAGGTTCCGCTGGGGCTATACGAAGACCTGTACCTGCATAGACAATTTTCTGACACAGGCTGTAGTACCCATTAGGATCTTCAAACACCAAATTTGAAACAATCCCGAATAATAATGTCGCTAAAATCATCAAAGTACCGAATATCGGGAGGTACCGTTATATGGCGGCTATACGAAGACGTGGACCTACATGACCCATTTTCAATACCAAAAGTCCTGCAGACTAATACACATTTGAGTACAATTTTATCAACCTATTTCGTTTCGTTCGGAAGCTAGAGTGATTTCCACAGACGGAAAGGCGCACGGACTTTGCTAAATCGACATAGAATTTTATGCTGATCAAGAATATATATACTTTGTGGGGTCTAAAATGTATATATCGAGGTGTTACAAACGGAATGACAAACTTAATTTAACCTCCATACTTTAGTGGAGGGTATAAACTTTATATTGTAAATAATACTTTACCATGAATCCAACCAACCAAGAATCAGGAGATACCATTATATGGGTCTACACAGTAAAGAGGATCTACATTGACTATTTCTTTGGGAGGAGTAAGACTACCCGCTAGGAATCAGAAATGGTAAATTATTGCTAATTGGTTGAAAACTGGGCCAAAACTTCGATAATAATTTAAATCAGGAGGTATTATTATACGGGGGATATACCTAAACGTGCACCGATATAGTACATTTTAAGTGTAAAACATGCTAGGTTTAATATCAATGTCTGTCGCACAAGACGTTAAAAAAGAACGCTATAGTCAAAAGGCCCCTAAGAAGTATTCTATTCTTCCTTCTTCTTTATAGAAACAAAATCTTTGAAAGGTTTTCCGGATTCAGGAAATTTTAAGAGGTTGTCTATACAAGAAAAAAAATCTTTAATATGATTAAAAGAATCCTACGAGCCCTTCACAATTCAAAGGCACCAACCGCTATTTAATAGGCCCCTCTTTGCATTTCCGCAAATTAAATTATGAAATTATGCGAATCGTGTGCGTGAGTGTAAGTGTGTGTTTGAGTATTGATATGCGTGCGTGCGTGCGTGAGTGTTTGTTTATGCAAAAATGTTCTGTTTATTTCACACCCTCTACACGCACACACACACAAACACCTCAATAAACAGGGCAAATTTGCTTTGTTAATATAAACACAGAACAACGCACTTCACAATTCATAATCTCTTTTCCATCTCCCATACTCACACTCTCCCTCTCTGCCACACACATGCAGCCGCACATAAATTAGGTCTCAAACTCTGTCTTAATCAAACGACTTCCTACTCCTTCGTACATTCGGCAAATTCATAATTTCTCTTGTAAATATTGACGTCGGTGTCTACGTCAACGTCGACTGCGGTTTCTTTGCCCAGTTCCGTCTTCACTACTACTTCGCACGTACAATGAGGGGACCTACAGACATACATATTTACATTGTCGGGTAGGGGTATTGTGTTGCGTTGTGCTGTACTCTGAGTGACCCACTCGCCCAGTTAAACGAGTGGAGCAACAACAATACAAAGTGGGTGGGTGTTTGGGTTGTTGAATGCATGGCTTTAGTAGGGATTCTCTTTGAATCATCTACCATTGCATTCACATGTAAACATTTGTGAGCGTATGTCGGTGGGTGTGTGTGTGTCTGTGCTCTCTGTTGTCTCAACAATAGAAAAGAGTAGAAGAGTGCGTATACATGGAGTTGAATGATCGTTTGAGAGGTGTTGTTGATTGTGTGTGTTCGTGTGTGTCCGTGTGCGTTTGTCTGGTGGTTTGATGTGGTTTCGATTTCAGTTTTTATTTAACTTGGCTGACCGGCTGGCTGAATGACTGCCGTCTGCTCTCAGACTTGATTAAACAACAATGTTCATGCTGCACTTTCACTTTCTTGCCAGCCCTGCAGCATTTGGAGTTGTTGCTATTTCTTTTCTGTTGGCTCAGCCAGTAACCGCACAAGTTTTGAATAGAAGAAACAAACTAGACCTTTGTTAAAACACAGGGAAAAGAGAAGAAAATGAAGAAGAAGAATAACAAAGAAACAAAAAACCTGTTTGGCAACACTTCAACATTTTAATGCAATTCGAACAAAATGCCATCGAATGGAAGACCAAACCAAAACAAAAGAGAAACAGAAGAAGAATAATTGCAGCACCGCACCTAAACCGCAAAAATGACAGAAACTTATCGTCGTCGTGCAAAAAGGCTTAATTTACCGCATTACGTACGTTGTTGCTGGTGTGCTTGCTCTGCAGGCGAACAAAACTAACAAAACAAACTGTTGGCATTTCAAACGGGGCCAAATATCTGTGGAGTGTGTCTAAAGATTGGTGTGTGTGTGGGGGGCGTGGGCAACTATGATGTGGTTAGTTCGTGTCTAAACGTCATTATTGCTGGTTAACCATGTTTTTGGATACTCGTTGTAGGTCATTTAAATGGGGGGAGTCAAATCTATTAAGTCATTGATTTATGTTTGGGAATTGTATTTCGATGAGCCGGTTGTTGTTGTTGCCCAATTGTTTGTTGTTTATGAGATTCTTAGTGGGGAAGGAATGTGTGATATTTGAAATGGAAAGGGAATTTTTTCCTTGGGTGGGTGATAAATGTATTCCACAAAGACATTATTGGAATAACTTGTGTATAAGTTGTATGTACACAGTAATACTGCGTGTATTTTCTTCTTGATTATGAAAAATTAACCTTATTCTGAAATCGTAGCGTGATGGAAGACTAGACTTAAGAAGACATGTGTTTCGGCGTGTTTTCCACAT